AATTGTTCTAGTTGTTCCAACATTGTTCCAAAAGGACACTTTACTCTTGAGCGCGCCCTTACCGTAAGAATTCTAAGTCCATTAATTCGGGTTTATAATTGTTCGATGTGAACAAAACTGCATATCTGAGTTGTACTAGCTTAGCACAAGTTAGCACCATATTCGAATTCTTCAGAACAACGATATAAAGGGCACTTTACTCTTGAACGCGCCCTTACCGTAAGAATTTTAAGTACACATGACATGTTCTTTTACCGCGTAATTTTTTTGGCTTACGTATATCATCGTATTCTATCTAGTTGGTACCATTACGTACATATGCAGTGTAATGACCAACTGACGTTTGGGACGTTTGTCCGTAGTACACAACGCATCCAACATGAGTGTAATGTTGCTCATTTAACTTAATGGATATTGGAATGTCGTTCAAAGCAGTTAATTGTGAGCGAAGATTCAATAAATAGTTGTGGCCCGTATGATACGTTCACAGAACGTTCCTTATCACATTTGCTACATGTAAATTTTAAAACTTTTTCCTCCTTTATTGCATCAATAATTTTTGGGTAATCGTGTTTATTTAATATTTCATTTATCGGTAAAATGTATTTCTTAACAATTTTCATGTTTCCACATATTTGACATGTGCATATTTCGACATAGCTATTACTTTCTTGAAATATATATTCGCATAAATTAACAATGTTTGATAAGGCACCTATTGTTACAATGCCAGGAGTTACCGTATCTTGTAAAAAACATGTCACACTTTTCAAAAGTTCAGCTCGCATTTTATGTTAAATATTAAATTTTTGTAGTTGGACTTAATTGTACAAAACATTTTATAAATTTAAACACGTCTGTTGTGGCTGTATCTACAATTCCTTTAAATTTATCATATACGCATGCCGCGGCGAGAATTTGCACAATGCTATCAAAACCACATGTATTTTTGACGATTATGTTCGTAGATTCAATTTTTAAAACAGAAGAAATATTCCCATTTTGTAATACATCTAGCGTAACATGCTTTTTTGTAATATTAAATGTATCCCAACTAGGACACAAATCTAGATAAAAACGTTTAGTTTTTTTACTATCATTCTTTATTTCGCCAGTTTTGTTCCGCCGCTAACTCACAAGGTTCTTCATCTGATTTGTCAGAATTTATTGATTTTATTTCTAATTTCGGACTTTCGAATTTTATAACATCAATTTCTTCGTCTTTTGCGAAAGACCCAATTATCATTGCCAAAAGATCAACAATAACTTCGAGAACAACGATACATTTCGAGTCAAAATTAACATGCCTTTTTTTTGTAAGGATAGGATTAGAAATACGTCGAATCGGTAGTTCGAATAAAAAAGTTTTCCATGTTACAACAGATAGTTATTATGAGTTTGACAGAGCATTAATGGGTGTTATTGTAAGAGCATTTAGTAATTGTAATGATCTAAAAGAATATTTGTCAAGGTGTTCTTATTAATATCAAATAAAAACAAAAAAATACCAACATGTTTTTTGCGTTTAGATATTTTACATTATGTAAGTTTTATAACTAGATGGAAAATTTTTACACCTACAGTCCATCCTAAAGTTAAAACATTTTACATAATGATAATGTGTCTGTTAACAAGAACAACAGATTTCACTGATTTACAACAAATTGTGCGAGTAGCGATTATTCTCTGTTCAAGTGAAAATGTTGGAAAAGACGAAAATCAGCAAGATACTTTAGCTGGAAAATGTCGAATTTTGTTATGCAATAAAATCAAAGGAGTAATTCCTAATGTAGGCGAAATTGCCGATCGGGGTATTGAGATCGGTCGCGATGTAAACGAATTGGATTTGTTATTAACAGATATTAATCAAGAAGATATACATCAAAATAGCGAGAAACTTAATTCTGCTGACGATAATATATGCAATGATTATCTGGGTTAATACGTTCTTCGATAGTTGCGTTAATGACTTGCATAGCGCTACTAATGGTGTAGACATAAATCCATATTACTTTCCAGCAATGGTAAAAAAAATTAAATCTTTGTCATATTTTCTCATATACACCGTAATATAATGATACCAATATTTGGATTTGGCAAAATAAATGCAAGTTCATCTGCAGTTGAGTTTAAATTTAACGATATAAAGCACAGTTTATTAAAGTACACTTCACAATCAATGCGAATAGATAAATTTTTAACGGTACATATTCAATCTTTCTCTGGTAAAGCAAAATTAGCTATGTCAGAAATTAACAGATTGGTATCACCATCTATGTCAAATACGCATTACGAGACGCCAAAGCAAATTTTAACAGAAATTGATGTTATAAAATTCGAAAGTCCGAAATTAGAAATAAAATCAATAAATTCTGACAAATCAGATGAA